TTTGAAATAATCTTGTTACCAAAGAATTCGGCTTATTCAAGCAAGTAATATTGAAAAAGTTATTTTAATTATGAAAATATTCTAATAAAAGTGAAAGATTATCACTTTTATTAGAATATTTTATTAAAATCTTGTTTGCAAAAGTACGACGGTACAAAAATATGTATACAGTTAATAAAATTGGAGTAGCTGTATCAAGTATGAAAAAAAGTATAACTTTCGCGAACATCATTAAAAAACTGTCTGCAAGCTGCGCTAGTTCAGGGTAATCTCCGGTAGGACCGAGTGGTCAGGACTTTAACGGGAAAGTAGTTGATGTACGCAGGAATTTTATGGGCTATTTTTTATTCTGCTCTAACGAAGACACGGGGTACCGCTAGTTAGACTTAATGTGCATTTAGTTATTTGCTATGCTGACAAAGGTTTAAAAAAGTGTAAAGAATTACACGATTTTATAAGTATCGTATAAAATAACCGTTATCTGACATCTGCCTATTAGAGATCTCATGATAAAAAAGGAATTTCAAGAGGTCTTGTAAAAGAATGTGCTAAAAAGAAATCAAGAGCCATGCTCTCACAAGACAAGATTTTCTTGTAGATAACGTTGTTTAATTTACCAGTTAGATGAGTATTCGACTATTCTGAAACCGTTCAGTTTTAATAGCTACTAGCTTTAACAGTCGAAGTATGCCGTTTTCGGAGTGGTAGAGCCCGCTTTAATAGCTTCGCATGAATGGGTCGGCTCGCCCGGTGCAATACCACAACCACACAGAAGACTGGTGTGAAGTGGGAGCAATACCGCGTTTCGTCTAATGAGTGTGGTGCCGGAGGCCTAATTTTAGACCCTTTCCCTTTCCACCCTTTTCTGAAGAGGAAAGGATGGGAAGGAAAAGTGGATTTGACGATGGAGGAGGCGCATTGGAAGGGAAAATATCCTCTTTATGCGTCTCTTCCTCTATCGATTTAGGGTAGGCAACGTATCTGCCATTGCGGATGTCTATAGGCAGCGGTCGCTACGTCATTTTGGCGGATTTAGGTGGCCGGTTGCTCGTTCGCCACCTTACTGTAAAAAAAAAATGTAAAAAAAAATTGCCTACACGTAGTTGTAACTGAACATTCCGATTGTTCAGGCCGTCTGTATTCTGACAGATTCTGACAGCTGTCAACATTTTAATGGAAGAAATGTTATCATGGTCTTATATTCTTGGACAACTTGTTACAAAATCAAACGTCGTTTTAGTATTCGGCCTTAAATATACGTTTCTAACAAATTTAAATTAATTAAGCAGAGGAAAAGAAAGGTTAAATACCTTATTTACAATAATGTTTTCAGTTACTATGTCAAAATTATGTAATATTATAGAATAAAATTGATGTTATAAAAATGAGGTTTTGCCAGAAACGTTTGATGATTTATTTTTTCGCATAATTTGTAGTTTATCTATCATACTTTCATACTAATATTATAAATGCGAAAGTTAAGATGGATGGTTGGATGGATTTTTGTTCGAGTCTGTAGACTAAATTGCTGAACACTTTTAGTATAGATGTAGAGAATAGTCTGGAAGAACACATAGGCTACTCGCTTTTGTTTTATTTTATTACACGCGTGGGATCGCGGGCGAAAGCTAGTGGATTATAAATAGAGTTTCACCTTCGTCTAGAGGTCAAAATTAACTGTAACATAAATTCTAACTTGTCAATCTCGCGTGGACATGGGTCTTACACTGAGTCAAATGCCAAGGACTTTGGGGTTTATGAATCCGAGCGTGGTTTATTATCGTAGTTAGATGGAGAGTCGTATTTCACTATGGCTGCCTTCATGGACTAATGAACTAAAACATTAAAACATATTGTCGCCAATAAAAATTTAAATTTAGTACACTCTATTTATCTATTTAAACCTAGCTGTAGCTCGCAACTTTGCCCGCGCAATATTAAAAAAATAGTAAAAATACTGCCTATACCACTCAGTGATAACATAGCTTTTAATGGTGCGAGATTTTTTAAAATCGGTCCAGTAGTTTTTGAGTTAATTACAATACAAACAAAAATCCATAAATACAAATCTTTCCTCTTTGTAATATAGAAGTATAGATAAGAAATTTCCTTCTAAGTATTCACGTTACGCTCTTTAAATTAATAATTTGTTTTCAGTTACAGCTTTTAAGATTTTTTCAACTATTCTCAATTAACATAAACAACGCCGTAATCTCCTGAAACTTCTATAAATCGTGTAACTGAAAGTGGCTGTAAACAGGAAAACTGTCTACCTGTGAAATTGGATTCCGCTTTCTAAAGTAGCAAGGTAATTTTTTATTAGATCCCGTTTTATTAGAATATCATCTCAGTTACTAATATTATAAATACGAAAGTTTAGATGGATGAATGAAATTTGGCATAAATGTATAGTCTGGATCACATTTTTTTTATAACATAAGGTGGCAAACGAGCAAGCGCCCACCTGAATCCACCGAAATGGAGAGCGACCGCTGCCCATAAACATGCGCAATTGCAAATGCGTTGCCTACCATTAATCGAGAGAGGAGGAGACGCAAATAAAAAGGACATTTTCCCTTCCTAAGCGTCTCCTCCACCGTCAAATCCACTTTTCCTTCCCATCCTTTCCTCTTAAAAAAAGGGTGGACCTTTCCACCCTTTTTTCCCTTGAAAGGGACAAAAATTAGGTCTCCGGCACCGGCATAGGCTTTTGTTTATTTTTTTAAATTCCACGCAGAGTAGCTGGCGAAAGGTACTGGGTTATAAAGTGTAAAGTTGAATTATTTGAGTCCTAATTAATGGTTAATTTACATTTTTCTTATTTTAGATATATAAAAGTAAAAATTATCCGTAAGAAATACAAAAGTTTATTCTAAATGATAATAAAAACGAATTTTAATGATGACAAAACGGTAAGTTTTTGTTTGAAAAAGCAAATTACTTTTGTTATTAAAATCACAGATTTTTAATTAAAAGACAGCGAGAATAATTATCATTTTGCTTCTAATCTACGTCGAAACAAAAGTAGACGAAAACCTGATCCACGTTTTTCGAATTATCACAATAATTAGAATCGCTTCTCTTTGTTTATTTTAATAAGGCAATTCCACGTTTCTTTTATTTCTTAATTTACTTAATAAACATTATTTCATAATTAGAATGTTTAATTAGATATGTGCAGATTGCATCATGATGTTTTCCTTCACTGAAAGTCTGATCTTTGAACTTCAAAAAGATAAGTATATGACGTGGATACAACCTGAAGTAAACGCTTATTTGTGACCGACTCTGTTATACACTGTACTAAGAAAAATACTGAGAAAACAACATTATCATGTTATAAAGAACTTAAAAGACATTTACGTATACGAAGCAGAATATAATGTGAAATAAATATAATTCGTACAAAAGGAATTTGCTCAGATTTCTACAAAAAATGTGACGCTTTGACAAAATAAACTTTTTATGTAAATTTAATTTTGTGTTGGCTTCGTGTTATTTGATCCTGTAAGAGATATTGAAAATGTGAAATAAAACACAGCTGTAATAGTTATAATAAATCTGTTAAAGTAAATGGTTTTATTTGCAAAAAAATCGACTAAGATAAAAAGCTCCAATATACTGAATATTAGTAAGCGCCTGATAAATGTGTTCTGCAAAACTAAGATCCTGCATATTCATTATTGTAAAACATGTGCAACATTTTTATTTAGTTTTACATAAATATACCAAGTATTATTTAATTCAATAAACCATACAACATTTGAAATTATCCCTTTGGTCCCAAAAGACATGTAAGTAAACAGATATGTGCCTAATTCCAATCAAGTTTCCTCAATTATTGTACACATGTGCCAATACCCATTCCGTTAAACCTTACAACAGGGACTGGCCAGTAACATATCTCGTCCTATTTGTTACGAACCCTTCGCAATATAGACAAAGGAAAATATTATTTTGTTTCGTCATCAATGTCCGCAAAATTGAGAAAATACGTTCTCAAAACTATATAGTTTACTATAAAACCATACAACTATTCCACTTTTACCATAAAACTAGATTTTTAAACTTCAAAATAAGCATTTTATAATAAAAGCTTAATCAATGACCTATGTATTCCAGACTATGATCTATATCTATCCTATTTCATCGAGATGTCTTATGTCCATTTTCTAGGCTAAAATTAGCAACGTCTAAAAATAATTAAAAGCGGCTTGAATGAAACAAAAACATTTACGAGTTTTATTATTACCCCTGCGTAAAATAACAACAACAATTATTATTACTTCACTAAAACAACGATTGAACAAAAACAATTAATACAAACAAGAAAGGGTCGTATCAAAACAGATTGAATACACTACAGGCGCCTCCGGCAACATTAGATACTCAATTGTTCGTTTTAAATTTAGCAAATACACAATATCGGGCGCAATTACGTTCGGGAATTTAAAAAAAAACTTTTTTTTTATAATACATTGTAACAAACGAGCAAGCGGCCACCTGAATCCATCGAAATGGAAAGCGACCGCTGCCCATAAACATCCGCAATTGCAGATGCGTTGCCTACCCTTGATTGACGGAGGAGGAGACGCACATAAAGAGGACATTTCCCCTTCCTGTACGACTCAACCACCGTCAAATCCACTTTTCCGTCCCATCCTTTCCTCTTAAAAAAAGGTTGGAAAGAGAAAGAGACTAAAATTACTCCTCTGGCACTGAATTCATCAGACGAAACACGGAATTACTTCCACTTTACGCATGTCTTCTGTGTGGTCGTGATATTACACCGGGCGAGCCGGCCCATTCGTGTGATGTTAAAGCGGGCTCTACCACTGTTAAAAACTGCGAAGTATTCTGCGAGCTCGATTTAAAATATAATAATAACACGCTCCACGTAATTAAATTTATCAATTTCTGATAATAACATGAATTATAGTACGAAATGAGTTTATCTGAAACTGTCGTTAATTTATTTGATAAGAGACTAAATGCAATCGAAATCGAGTCTTGTTCATTCGAGTAAATGAACGAATGATAAAAACATATTAACTGCAGGATTATTTTACTAATTTTATGTTTAGTATACAAAAAGAAGACAGCATAAGTACTACGGAAGGACAAGGTAAGATAAATCTATTCTAATATTATAAAGAGGAAAGATGTGTATTTTTGGATTTTTGTATGTTTTTGTATGTTTGTACTCAGTTTTGTTTTTTTATTCCCAAGCGGACGGAGTCGCGACCAAAAGCTAGTAACTCGTAGATTGTAAAGATCACTCGATATTTTACATTCCAGGATGGCGTGCGTGAATGCCACTTGCTCTAGTTATCTGTCCGGTCCAGCGGGCAGTTCCTTTGCGAGCCTTATGACACACCTACTGGCGACGCAGTGTGTCATCACCGAAACCTGGCCTAACGATGCCTTTGAAAGGATTACATGTAGAGTACACAAATATTGCTTTTATATTGGTATCTTATTCTGTAACAAAGCGGTCAACTTGGCGGAATTAATTCATTATCTATCAAAAATAGTTAGTTTTTTATAATCTTACTGACATTATAAATAGGAAAGTTTTTATGGATGGATGTTTGTTAGAGTTTGTAGTCTAAACTGCTGAACAGGTCTCGATGAAATTTTACACAGATGTAAAACAGTCTAGAAGAACACATAGGTTACTTCTTTTAATTCCACGCGGCCGAAGTCACGGCTGAAAACTTGTGTGAATATATCTTGAAATGTAACGAAAAGTGAAAAGGAAAGATTCTAAATTCTGCATTGTTCTCTTTTAATTTCACAGATGGCGAGTTTTTTGATTTCATAATAGTTGGATCCGGAACAGCAGGCTCCATCATTGCCAACAGACTGACTGAGATCGATAACTGGAAAGTCCTACTCATAGAAGCAGGCGATGATCCACCGATAGAAAGTATTGTAAGTGCTGAACCACTACTGTTAAAAAACCTGTGTTATAACGATTAATAAATATAGCCTACGTTACTCAGTGATAACCTAGATAAAATAGCCTAGATTTAGAGGTATTACAAACAAAAAAATAATTCTTTCCACCTTATACTATTAGTATAGATACCTATAGATTATTTATTTATTTATTGGAAAGGTACACCAATTGCATGTTCAAAGTTCACAACCAAATTAATATACCGTATACAATGAAAAACAAAGAAGCAGAAGGACATACAGATGACAGGCGTACACAGCGCTCACAAAAAAATGATGTTTTACTTTTTAATAATAAACGTTGAATCACGTTAATTACAACTAATATAAATTAGGGTACACATATTAAACAAAAACAATAAAAGGAAATTACTTAAAGGTTACAACTATATCCTAAAATTTACTTGCTGTATATATTTTCAGATTCCGAACTTCTCAGCTTTAACACACAGAAGTCGTCATGCATTCCAATACTACACAGAACAAGACGATACAATCAACCAGGGATGCGTTGATCGCAGATCCTTCTGGCCTCGAGGACGAGTTATAGGAGGTACGGGAAGTATTAATGGGCTTTTACACATGAAGGGAAGCGCCGGTGATTACGAACCTTGGCATTTAAAAGATAACGATGGATGGGATTGGCAAACAATACAAAAATATTTCAAGAAAAGTGAAAAAATCGTCGATCCATTCATATTGAATAATCCAGAACTTCGTGATAATTATGGAGTCGATGGTAACTTTGTTATTGATCAATTAAACTATACTCATACACATATTGCAAATAAGTTAACCCAAGGATACTTGGACATAGGATTAAAATATTTAGAAGACCTTAATGGCCCTACACAAATGGGTGTTGGTAAAATAAGAGGAAGCAATCATAAAGGAAAACGTGTCAGTACTGCGACTGCCTTTCTAAGTCCAGCAAGAGATCGTAAAAATCTTTACGTCTTAAAAAAGACTATGGTAACCAAAGTAATAATAGATGACAATAAACGAGCTGAAGGCGTAAGTGTCATACTATCAAACGGCGATGCAACCACTTTTTACGCCAGAAAAGAAGTGATATTGAGCGCTGGTTCAATCAATACCCCGATTTTACTAATGTTGTCTGGTGTCGGTCCAAAATCACACCTTAAAGAGTTGAATATCAAAGTGAACGCTGATCTACCTGTCGGCGAGAACTTACAAGATCATGTAAGGATCCCAGTTTTAGTTACATTAAATACAAATGCTACTGAAGAGGATGACTTATATTGGCACAAAGCTACTGCTCAATATCTCATAGACCAAACTGGGCCACATGCGACAAACTACGATCAACCTAACATCAACGCATTTGTTTCTGTCGACGCAGACAAAAAATTACCAGATGTACAAATAGACCACAATTATTTCGTACCTAACTCATCATACATTTTTTCCATGTGTACAAAAGTTCTATCTTACGAAGATAAAATCTGTGAACAGTTCTTGGAATTAAACAAAAAACATGAAATTCTACTATTTTACATCTCCTTATGCCGACCACATTCCAGAGGTAAAATATTATTACGATCTATCAATGCTGTTGATTTCCCAAAAATCTATCCAAAATATTTCAGTGATGATAGAGATATGAAATTATTTGTCAGAAGTATTAAAAAAGTAATGCAAATAGTAGATACGCCGACATTTAAAGGAATAAATGCAGAAATACCAAGAATTCATTTTAAAGATTGTGATGGCTATGAAATGGCAAGCGATGCTTACTGGGAGTGCATGGCTAGAACGATGACATTTAATGTATATCATCCTGTAGGAACGGTGAAGATGGGCGAAATCAATGATGCTACAACAGTAGTTGATAATAAACTGAAAGTAAAAGGTATAGAGAAGTTGAGAGTGATCGACGCTAGCATTATGCCGACCATACCGAGTGTCAACACTAATGCTGCGACCATGATGATTGCTGAACGGGCGTCTGACTTTGTTAAAGATGAATATTTAAATAATTCGGCAAAAAATAAAGATGAATTGTAATTATTCTATTAATTATTTAAGCCTAACCAAGAAAGTAATTAACCTGGCCATTGGTAATAAAGTTATTGGACCACTTTCATGTGGACAAAGGAATGTATATATAAATATGAATGAAGTGTATCTCTGAACGTGAGCTGTATTTTACAAATAAACCTACTTTGAATATCAACCTTTCAACTACCAAATGACATAAAAATAAATTGTCATTCCGTAAAATCAAAAATGCTATGTTTACAAAGGCAATTTCTATCTGTGTTGTACTTTTGATCTCTTATTTAATTTCAATACTGGACGCAATTACTATAATAGATAAAGGTGTTAAGCCCTTAATAAAGAATTCGGTGGGTATACAATTCTACGTTGATGTGGAAAATCAAAAGGAGAGTGCATGTAAAGTGATTTCAAAAACAAAAACTTGTATACTAGATAAAATTAAAAGAGACTGTGATATTTTTGAAACGAGCAGTGCCCAACTGTACACGGTGAAGCCGTCTGAGAACATGACCTTTGTTTCTGTGCTACCAACATTATTTCAACACGATTTGATAGGTTACATAGATTGTACTTTAGAATATCAATGCGACAGGTCAAGAAATATAACCAAGTTTCGTGAACCATTCAACACTAAAGTATATGACAGAGACGAACCCTCGTATTTATTAAAAGATTATGTAAATAATGAAAATATCAAAGAATGTTCAGAGGTCGATGAAAATTCACTAAATGATTGTAATCCAGCAGACTGTGATCAAAAATATTTAGGAAAGAGATCATTTTATAGCAATATATTTAAAAAATGTCTGCCAGTGACGACGTGCGGTGGAGACCCTAATAAAGATCTTCCCGAAGCGGCACTGTTGGTGGTGAGTAACACCTGCAGAGACCTGGAATCTCCGCTGACTTTGCAAGATATCTACGCCATCAGCACGGGTCTAGGCACCACTATTATTACCACTTCTGAATCTTCTAGTCGTTTTAAAATTGAAGTCACATCTAATTTATCTACTATATCGCAAAATTTAAAGTTTTTACGTGATCTTGCACTTGGCAAATTATACACCTTAGATGAATCAGTCGATGTTAGCGCATTCTGCAAAATAGCCTTTGTGTCCTTAGCAATAAGCGTCACCCTCGTATGTTGTGGAATTATATGTTTGTCCCTTTGTCTTAATACGATTATTTGTATATGTAACGAAGAAACAACTAGGAAACGAGGATATTGGCCGAAAATTAAAAATGCTTTCAACCTTTTCGATATTCGACAAAAGAGTAGTAAATCTTTTGACGACGTAAAAGAAAACAGAAATTCTTTACTACGTGAAGTTATGGTGAGAGATATTCCTATTGAGTTGAGAAATAATGTTATTGATTTATGCAAACGAATAGACGATGAAATAAAAGAGAAAAAACGGTATAGAGCGAGCGACGCACGAAGCCGGGTCAGCTTGGAGATAGACAACGAGTGTAGAACCTCCTCACCAACTAACACCAGCACTTCTATTGAAGCAAATGACAACAAAAATAGATTGCCTTGATAAATATAATTTATTACATTTTGGTTTATTGAATTAAAAGCCTGTTACAGTTCCACCGGACTTTATTATCAATGTTAAATACAAATATAAGGAAAAAAAAATCATTGAATCTCGTAGTCTTATTGATTCGTAGTGACATTTTTATTTGCTCCGTCGTACAATTGTTCGAGTCAATAGATTTTAGATCCTATGTAAGCAAGGGATGGGACCAATTTCTTCACATATTCACAAAGGACATTTAACAGAATCGGGCACCGTACGGTGCTCAAATTAGATTCTGATTTCCCTCTTTATGTTTACTTCTTTGTCATACGTAAGCAGATTTATATTTAAATAAATTAAAAAACTATTACATCTTACATTGTAATTGCAGTAAATAAATAAATATTTGCATCGTAAAACGATTTATTTTAGAATAAAGAACAAATGTCTCGTTTAAACTATTTCTATGTTCCGTTTATAAAAAAGTTACAACTCGAAGAAGACGGATCGGAAGTTAGGTTTTGTAAGTACCTGCTTCCTGCAGACGCCGTAGCGCGGCCAATCGAGTTTCCGCCCCGCTCCGTTGTCGCTGCGGTCGCTAATGCTGGGATTTTTAAACCACAGAGTAGTAATACATATAAAGTTTTTTTTTGTAATATCGTAATTAGAAATATACATTTTTGTCTTAATAATTAATGTTTGTTAAGATAATTTTCATAAAATATGCACAAGGCCGATTAGGCCGAATTCAAATATTCTTTCACCATTAAAAAGCTATGTTATCAGTGAGTGACATAGGCTACGTTTTTTATCATTTTTTTAATTTTACGCCGGCGAAGTCGCGAGCAAGAGATTAACAAATGATGTAGAGTTTTACTAGTATTTATATAAGTAGTATTTTTAATAAAGAGTAAAAATGTTTATTTGCATTAAATAGGCTCTGAAACGACTAAGCGTCGGTGGCTCTGTGATTTAAGCACTTGACTTGTAATCTACTGGTCTTGGGTTCGAATCCCGCTGTACCAATGTGATTTTGAATTTCCGAATTTTCATATATACATAATTTATCTGACGTTCCTACGGTAAAGGAAAACATTGTGATGCAACCTGCACATATCGGCAAAGAAATTCAAAGACATACATGAAGTCAACCAATCCTCAGTGAGCCAGCGTGGTTGACTATGACCTAGTCACCCCTTATTAGGGTAGGCTCCAAGCCCCTCGGTGGGGACATGTAGTGAGCTGGTGATGAAGAATTATGTACTGGTTAGTACAAAGTCTTTGTAAAAAAATTAAAAAAAAATTAAATGACAGGCGCTTATTATTTACGTCATTGTAAAATATCCATATAACCTAATATGCTAAATAAGGCATAAAATAATTAGGATATTTTAGGAAGGTATATGTTTGTGTATTATGTAAGGAGCGGGAAAAATTTTAAACATTAAGTACAGTCAATGACAGAAGTAAGTTCGTCAAAAACTGTTGAACCAGCAAACATTGCGTAAGACAAGGGAACCGTGACTCGGATTTAATATTGTTTTATAGTTATCAAATAAACATATTTTGCTACATTTCCAAACATGTCTAAATCATATATAGAAAATGACAAAAATATAGCAAATAGTAAAAATGAAATAATTCATAACTATAAAACTGTCGACCGTAACAGTAATCAGCAACAAAGGAATGAAAAATTAAAAAAGAACGATGAAGAGCATAATAGTGCCAACCAATTGGCTAACAAAATTCATTCCAGTGTGCAATCAGAAGAGGGAAAAGGCGATAATAAATTAAGTTCTACGTCCACAACTTCAAGTACAGATGAATCAGAAATGTTTGAAGTACTTCGTATTGATTTCAAGCCGATCCCCGGCGTCGACGACGATCCTGTCTCTCAGAATAAATGCTGGGAATACTGGAAACTGGTAGAAAATGTTAAATCAAACAGCACCAACAAATAATTGTAATTGTAGAACAGTTCTTTTTCAATGTATTAAATTATTAATTTTCACTTAAATTATGTAGATAAATGTACATGTTTTCAAATAGCAGTAAACTAATTTTGTTCACTGAGATGTTAATTATTTGCTATTTTCACGATTGCTGTGGCTTTAGTTTAATCGATTTCTTATTTTTAATCGATTTTAAAGGAGAAGTTTATCTATTCGTCTGTATGTTTTTTTTTTAAAAAAAAGGCCACACAGTACATTTAGTCAAAAATAGTTCTTTGTATAATTCCTTTGAAACGCACATAAAAACTACAGCTCTTTTTCGGAATGTCAACAAAACCATTCAATGATTTAGGAAAATATCTATTTTAAATAAGGTTAAGATTTGAAACATACATTTAGGTATGTTTATGAAATACTAACTACTATGAAATACTACATATGAACACTTTCAGCTTACATTGTAGTCTTGTAACACTAAATGTGGCACCGACTCTTTTATTCCTTGGAGAGTTTCCCGTACAAATGTGATTGTCGCGCAGCCACGCTCCCGGAGATGCAAGCAAACTTAATTACCCGCTTCCCGACCGATAATTATATAAAATTGACGGCAACCCAACCTTGCCCATCACTAATTTGACGAAGAAATTCTATTAACGCTACAATTTGCCTCATAGGCAAAGTTCATTTCAAACTTATAGACTCGCGTTATCGTCAACACAGTACTTTTAATTCATCCATAAAACATTAGATGTATAGTCGAGATCTATTTACATATATCTACATATGTAGTGCATATGTTAAAAAATATATAAATAAACTGCAATAAGTAAAGACATTGTATTTTATTTCAAACTTATAATTGCACTTTCAGTTTTAAAATAAAAACGTTCTAAAATAACATTAAATCTTAACTTATTTAATACAAAGTATATTTGATTCCTGCCCTTGACAACAACGTGTACCTGAAAAAAATTATCTTATTTTAGATATCGTGCTTTTATGGTATCTTCAAGTTTGGATTTGTATTAAAAAATTAGTTAAAACCGTTCAATTTGATCGAATTTTACATCTAGCACAAATTCACACCTTATTTACATAATCATCATCATCATCAGCTCACTATACGTCCCCACTGAGGGGCTCGGAGCCTACCCTAATACTCGTAAGGGGTGACTAGGCTATAGTCAACTACGCTGGTCCACTGCGGATTGATTGACTTCACACATAACTTTTAATTTCTTCGCCTATATGTGCAGTTTGCACCACGATGTTTTCCTTCACCGTATGAAAGTCGGCTAAATTAAGTAAATATGAAATTCTAAAAAATCGAAAATCACATTGGTACGACCGGATTCGAACCCTAGACCTGTAGATTACAAGTCAAGTGCTTAAACCACTGAGCCACCGACGCTCTTTTATATACTAGTTCACAATGTTATTTTAGCCCCCCTCCCCTTACTCGGCGGCTTTGGCCGTCTTACAATACCGTCTTTTTGGTCCTTACTTGTACCATGGCAATTCAAGTGGCAAATCAGAGCCTGATTACACCTAGGGAGTAGATTGGCAAGACTGGGCCTAGAGAGTACTTTAAACGACAGTCAGTCAGTTCAATTTGGAAAAAAGTGACTTATACCACCAAGTAAATAGAATAGGATCCAAGTGAACATCTCCCACTATTACTAGGCCAAGCTAGATTATGTACTTGCAAATACCGTGCGTCGGCCTAGGACTACTATCTATCAACAGTAGGTGTAATCATTACGGCTGCCTTTGTGGTGAGCACGTCACTTCCGGTAAGGTGAAACCAATGAAGTTATTGGTAAAAAAATTCCCGTGAATTCACATCTTAGAATAGAAACTAACCTTGATTAGATAGGGCTGCGGCAAGTGTTTGCTACTTGCGGTTAAAGTAAATATTTAAATTTTGTATAAAAGAAAATCAACGTCTCAAAAAATGTTATTTCCGTCATTGAGTCATTATTGGAAACAAATTTAATCATAATTAATTATTATTAAAGTTAAAGTCATTTCGTTAAAATGTCTCTGAACATTTTCTGTCCGTTATTTGTTATATTTTGTTGTGACTTGGTTTTCGGTAGCCTTTACTTTTCCGGTAAGTTTGACGTTGTCACGACAATTATTAAAAAAAATCAAGCTTTTTTTTAATGTAATGTATACGGTGACAAACTACAATGCGGATCCCAGATTTTGCCAATAGAGCAAAGTGGCCGCTACCGTTGCTGTGAAGGTATTTTAAGAGGCTAGTTAGCCCTAATCTAGAAATGTAGTAGTCTAGTAATTTAGTAGCTAAAATACTTTTTACTGCCAAAAAATCGTTCGAACTACTGTCACAGCAAAGTTAACTAAAACTGGACTACAACGACAGGCTCGGACTAGTTTAGCAGATGACCGAGTAAGCAGTAGTGCGTAGTAGGAGGCGTCAATCGCCGAACAATAGAATAAATTGGATTGAATTACTAATCTACTTGAGGTAACGCTTTTTAGGACTTAATGAGTACCGTTATGACTACAAACATGTCTCAGAAATTGATGGTTGGATAAAAATACATTTGTTTCCTGCAAAATGGAAGGATGCTCGCCTCCGTTGTCAATTAGAAGGTGAGTAATTTATCCAAAGGTACAATACATTTCTGGCTAACTAATTATAATATTACATTTATAAATACATTTTGCAAGCACGTTTAGATCATAGACAAAAACATTCATAATTTATTGATGCCTTGTACACCAGGCGCAGTGCTGGCGTCACCAGAAACTCCAGAGTTGGCGTCGACTTTAAAATCAATAGTGACAGAGCGTTTCCCGTCCGGCTTGTACACAGGAGTTCACGCGACCTTCTCACATGGAGACTACTTCTCTGTCGAAGGTAATTGGCATTTTGTACTTATTACAGATGGAATGGAGAAAAAAAAGCGTAAACAAAGTAAGTAATGTATCTTCCTTTTTAACATTCCAGGGACACCTATTGGAAAAATGTCGATAGAATGGGCCCCTAATGAGCCGAACAATCATGAGGACAGTGAAGAATGTATAATTCTGCAAGGAAACGGTACCGCCGCTGATGTTGTTTGCACGGACTTGTATCCTTACGTGTGCTACAGGAGAAGCCCAGTAATATTAAATGAATGTGGCAGCGTTGACCCGGGTAAGTTATTAGTTACTTTACCACTTTCATTGACAGTTTACAAAAAGTAAGTGATTGTCTTTGTTCCGGAGAGTTCGTTTTACAGATGGTAAGAAAAATAACAATTCCTTCACCGTAAGAACGTCGGGTAAATTATGTACATATAAAAATTCGAATAATCAAAAATCACATTGGTACATGGCGGAATTCGACCCCAAGACCTCTAGATTACAAGTCAAGTGCCTAAACCCCTGAGCCACCGATGCTCTCTTACGGTGAAGGAAAACATCGTGTTGCAACCTGCACATATCGGAGAAGAAATTCAAAGATATTTGTGAAGTCGACCAACCCGCAGTGGGCCAGCGTGGTTGAATATGGCCTAGTCCCCCTAATTTAGGGTAGGCTCCGAGCCCCTCAGTGGGGACGTGTTAGCTGACAGTTAGCTGGTGATTATGATGATTATGGTAACAACAATTCGTTTAAAAACTTTCCAGTATTCTTAACTTAACCCTGACTGACTGACCATCGCCATTACCTTTTTACAACACACTACTTTTTTTTCGGATATATGCTAAAGGGAACAAATATATCAATCACTAAAGAAAAGTAACACCATGCTGTCTTACACATAAATCAGTAATATGCAACTACGGAGACGCTACCTTCCCTGAGCCCCGGTCTCCACTTTTTTTTATAATATAAGGTAGCAAACGAGCAAGCGGCCACCTGAATCCATCGAAAT